CACCGCAGTCCCCGACAACTTCACACTTCCAGTCCGACAAGTGTTTTTTTTTGTCGCCCTCAGAACTTGCCAACTCCTGCTATTTGTGGGTGATGTTGATCCGGGTCTGGGTTTTATTTTGGGGGGTTGGGGGGGTGGGGGGGGGGGTGGGGGGGGTGACAGTAGTTTGTGTTGGCCACACACACACACACCTTTGTGTTGGAGTTTTCACTGACATTGTGAGAGCCGCCGGAGATACGGTGTTTTTGAGTAAAGCTATTGGGGACCTTTCCTCTATCGGTATTTCCTGACCAGGAATGTGCGGTCAATCGGTTCTCAATAGACCCGTCCAACCGCACAGTGTCACAGCGCCTTGTCCCCGCTTACATACACACACATCCCTTCGCGTTAATTCCACGTCGATTTCGCGTGTAATGGGATGGATCTGATCTCGCCACTGGTCTGGAAGTAGAGTAAACACATAAATCCTCCCCCCACCTCGAAAAAAACCCCAATTCATAACGATTCTTAAAAGGAAACGAAACGAAAGGCGATCAAGAGACAGATATCGATGTAGATTTATGTCCCAAATAATCCAGAGGACGGATAGGAAAGTTTCACCCCCCCACACCCCCCACACCCCCCCACACCCCCCCCACACCCCCACCCGCACACCCCACACCCCCCACCCCCCCCCAACACACCCCACACCCCCACACCCCAACCCCCCCCACCCCCCACACCCCCCACACCCCCCCACCCCCCTCCACCCACCACCAACCAAAAAAAATCCGATGGTTTGTTTGTGGAAGTCTTTCACTCGTTTCATGAGTTTATTGTGTTTCAGTGCAGCGTTTAAACAAACGTCGGATGTAAATTTCCAGACTAATAGAATATCAGATTAATGACACCGCTGCGATATTAATTTGAAACATTTTTTTAAAAAAAAAAGATATGAACGGGTTAGTTGCTGCTGTTGTTTCGTTCCTCCCCCTCTCCAAAAAAAATAAATAATTCAATTGAACCCGAATCTGACTTTTGTGGTCGATTCGGACAGAAATTTCAACCTTTCCTCAAAGAGGTCTGAATTGAAAGGACTCGGGATTTTGCGCGGAGTATAGGAAACCCGCAGTGACTTCCTCTCCTATTGAAACTCCTCGTAAAAACGCCACTTTGAAGACTTCCATTAACTTTGTTATTTTAAACGATTTGACACTGTTTTCCCGTCAGTGTCAAAGTCCGTTTGTGCCGCAAAAAAATAACCGAGAACTTTGACCGAAGTCCCCCTCCCAACAGAAAAATAAATAGGGGGTCAATTTTTTTTTGACTCGAGTAAATGTCGGTTTGAGTCGAGGTTTAAAACGTTGGGGTTTAAAAATTGCTAAAAGATGATTAAAAAATAAATTGCTTGAAGTCTAAAATGTCGATACGTGTACACAAAGTGGAAATTGAAATGGATGCGGTGAAGAGGGCGAGTGTTTTTTAAACGCTCTCCTGTCAGGAATACTCAGTATAAAGTATTAAATATTATCATATAGTTTCTCCTTTTGTAACACAGTAAATAAGACAGGCTTCCCACAAATTATTATACTATCTCTCTCTCTCTCTATATATATATATATTACATACAGGGTGACCAAAAAGTCGTGATACCATTACAATGTCTAATAAGTCTTAAATACATGTTATTTTTTCGATAATAGAGTAGTTATCATGACTTTTTGGTCACCCCTTATATATATATATATATATATATAATGTGGCTCAACGATCTGCAGCTTCACGTACATTTTGTAAAGAAAATGAAATAAATACTTAAGATTTAGAAATGAAATAAGAATACAATAAAGCGGCTGAATGTTCCTGTTCAGGCTGAATGCTCTTTTGGTGAATTTGCCAGGTTTTCTCAAGCCAACATGAAAGCAGTAATGTTCTCTAAATTCCTAAATTGAGCAAAAACTGGCGGCTCGGCTCCACTTACTGGGGCCGAATCTAACACAGGTACACGCACATCAACACGCAATGTAAGTAACTATCACACGAGCAAAGGATACAGGGGGGAAAAACAGGTTATTCGAAATATTAAGATGCATCACCCACCCTTCACGGGATCTCTTGGGAGATCTGATTTGAAACCCTATCAATAAATAACAATAATAATAATAATATGTAAATTAACTTTGAAAGTTATCTCAACAAGTCCTGTACTTCAACCAACGTCAACTGTAAATGTCCCTATTATTAATCTGATAATGATCGATGCTGTCAGACAGAAACGATCTCAGTCATTAATATGGTTAATTATTTATGATCAATATTCATGATTGATATGATTGGACGTGTCTAACTTTTTAATGCGGGGGAGCGGGTGAGACTGGTTCATGCGCCATGACCCCAAACCAACACATTTTGATGTGCATCTCCCGTGTTATAAAGTTGTAGTTGATATAAGTTATTCTGGGACATTGTGGTCGCTAAATGGGTTTGATGAAGCGCTCCCAGACGCTACCCTGTGTGAAGGGCGATAGATCAATGGAAGTTGATGCTGTCGCTGTGGAGGGCTCCTGTGTTGCTGGTGGTCTGGATGCCCAGGACTTACCTGTGATATTCCATGTGTTTTTGCTCACTCTATTGCGCATCTTCCGAGGGCACTTTGAGGGGCGGTCCAGTCGCCCAGTGGAGGCACTAGATGGCAGTGTCAGAGGTCACTCCGGAGAGGGGCACAACACACCAGAGGGAACTGCACTGTTTGATCTTCACTGACACTGACACTGAGTAAGAAGAGATTGGAAATATGGACAGAATCTGTGAGAGACAAACCGGGACTGCGACCCACTCCCCCCCCCACCACACCATCACCCCCCCCACCCACACCACACCACACCACTCACCCCCCCCCCCCCCCCACACACACACACATAAAATTGAAAGTCAAAAATAGCTATTAAATATGAAATAAATGAACCCTATGTCAGTTTCTCTTTTTTCAATGAAAGAACCATATATTCACGTCTAAGTGGTGGATCTGATGTGTCCTCCTGATCTGAACGGTGCTCTATCAAATGCAAGGAGTATTATTATTATTATTATTATTATTATTATTGTGAGACCTTAAACTGAAATAGCTCTGCCTAATCAAATGGACGTCGGACATCCCGTGGCTGTTTTAAAAAAGAGAAGAAAGTTTTTTTCCCGGTCAGCAATCGCCCAAATAACAAATACAAATCATGGTTCACTTCATGGCTGTCTGTGGCGCATTGCTGTGTGGATATTAGCTGCCGCGTTCATTTAAAATGCACAGTCACTTTAGTCGTTCCAGGGTTCCTCCCTACATAAACGACGCTAATATAAATGCAAGTTGTCGTTGTTGTTTACAGTCAACCGTGTGGAGGGTTTTGAGATGCGTCCGTGTGATGACTGGGAATATATCAGACATCAAAGATTATTATTGTATTTGTTCAAAAAATTGCAAAACGTGGAGAGAGAGAAAGATCACTGACCGTTGATTCACGTGTTACATTCCGGGGGGGACGGGGGGGGGAGGGGGGGAGGGGGGGGGGGGGGGGGGGGGGGGGGGAGGGGGGGGGGGGGGGGCGTCTCAAAGTGCAATGGACATTGACGCGTTGGAAAGTGCGATGACTAATGTTGACTCATTTTCCAATCGAGTTGATGGTTATCAGTTTTGGTGGAATTCATTCAGACGCGACCGCCCGTCCGGATCCCGGTAACAGTTAGACCAGTTACTACAGCAGAGCAAAGTGGTGGTGGGTGGATAGATAGATAGATAGATAGATAGATAGATAGATAGATAGATAGATAGATAGATAGATAGATAGATAGATACATACATACATACATACATACATACATACATACATACATACATACATACATACATACATACATAATACATACATACATACATACATACATACATACGTACATACATACATACATACACATAAATACATACATACATACATACATACATACATACATACATACATACATACATACATACATACATACATACATACATACATACATACATACATACATACATACATACATACATACATACATACATACATACATACATACATACATACATACATAATACATACATACATACATACATACATACATACATACATACATACATACATACATACATACATACATACATACATACATACATACATACATACATACATACATACATACATACATACATACATACATACATACATACATACATACATACATACATACATAAATACATACATACATACATACATACATACATACAATACATACATACATACATACATACATACATACATACATACATACATACATACATACATAATACATACATACATACATACATACATACATACATACATACATACATACATACATACATACATACATACATACATACATACATACATACATACATAGATGGGGGGAATGAATGAAAGGATAGATATGTGGATGGAGGAATGGATAGATGGATGGTGATCAGGAAAGGGTGGGGTATTATTATTATTATTATAGATGGATGGATAGATGGATGGTGATCAGGAAAGGGTGGGGGAGGGGGAGATGTGGAAACCAAAGGGCAGGAAAGTGCTTGGGATACGGCACGAGGCGGGTGGACAGTGAGACTCGGGGAGAGATGGAGAGAGTTACCTTTGATGTGAATGGTTAATGGTTGGGGCACCAATAGGCAAATGGCGTGGCCTCCAGTGGGCGCGGCCTGGGGGTGGGGGGCGGGTCCCAAACAGGACTGCCCTCTCTGATTGGAGAAAGGCGCAGGAGTCAGTCGCTGGCCGGCCTGTGACTGGCCGCCTGGGCTGTCAATCCCGAGCTGTCACGCCTCCCCTTCCATCAAGTAGACTGGAGACCATTCGGTCTGGGAATATTTACAGGGAGGAGAAGGCTGGAGTGGGGCTGAGCTGAGCCCAGGACGAGAGGGAGGAGGAGAGGGAGAGAGAGAGAGAGAGGGGAAGGAAGGAGGAGGAGAGGGAGAGAGAGAGGAGGAAAGAAAGAAAGAGGAAGAGAAAGAAGCAGCTGTTTCTATCCAATTTGCAGAGGGAAGGAGGGAGAGAGAGAGAGAGAGAGATTTGGGACAAATATGCGACCAACAACAACCATCTGAGTCACCGACAGCATCCCAGTGGTTGCGTGGGAGGGAGGAGGGAGGGAGGGAGGAGGAGAGGGAGAGGGAGAGGGGTTGTCCCCCAAATTATGGGAAGCGTCGGGTTGGGCGCGCGGCTCTTTCTGTGAGGGGTTCGGTGGGAGTTCCTCTAACCATGCGTCCGTCGCGCGCGGCATGGAATGCAGCCTGAGCCGGTGCCACTCACAAGCCGTCGCCACAGCTTCGCTCCGAAAGAAACTCCTGCTCCTCTTCACCATGTTGCTCCTTTGGGGTTACATCCTGTACTCCTGCGCCGGCTTTTGCGTCTCCCTGCCCGGCCCGGTGCACGGGTCAGCCCGGCAGAGAGCCGCCGCCGCCGCCGCCGCCGCCAGCGCCAGCGCCGCCGCCTACAAGGTCGCCTCCGACCCCGACCCGTTCGTCTCAGCCCCGGCTCTGAGACCCAGACTTGTGCCCCGGGTCCCGGCAGGTGAGGTGGAGGACGAGGAGGAGGAAGCGGCGGCGGCGGTGGCGGCGGTGGGGAGGGGGAGGGGGCGGGAGGCGGTGTCGTTGGATTCCGCGGCTCTCGGGTCCAGATCGGCTTCCAGAGACTTGTTGCACAACAACAACGCGGGGGGTTTCACGGAGGGCAGCCCGACCCCCCCCGGCGGGCACTCGCCCCGACCCCCGGAGCTGAACTACAGCAGCTTTGGGACCAAGAAGCTGCCCCAAGCCATCATCATCGGGGTGAAGAAGGGGGGGACCCGAGCTCTGCTGGAGTTCCTCCGCGTCCATCCCGACATCAGGGCGGTGGGGGCAGAGCCGCACTTTTTCGACAGACATTTCGACAAAGGCATTGAGTGGTACAAGTGAGTGTTACTGCATGAGATCCGAGATCCACGCGGGTGTGTGGGGGTGTGGGGTGTGGGGGTGTGGGGGGGAGGGGAGGGGTTGGGGGGACAGGACCAGAGAGTGTTTGTTAACTGTGGTTTCGTTAGAACAACACACATCAACCACTTGTGTTTCATTTAGATGGCGCCCCTCACACGGGATAGCGTCCCAGAGCGCTTTAGTCGCTGATACTGACCCGACTCTGATTTTCTGGGTTGCAGAGATTTTTTGGGGGGTGGTGGGGGGGTGGAGGGGTGGGGTGGGGTGGTGGGGGCTTGGATCATTTGCTAAATATTCAGAGTCACCAGAGTTAGCACTAACTTGGATAAACACTAAACCCAGTGAGCTTTATTGTGTTGTTTTTCGAAAATATATATTTTCAATATATATATATATATATATAAAATATATATACATTCTGATTTATTTGAGAAGGATTGGAGTGTGGATGGTTTGTGTTGTATTTACAGACAAGTCTCTGCTCCAGTCCTTGTCGGTCGCCCTGACCAGAGCCCTCTCTGTCTGTGTCTGTCTCTCTCTCTCTCTCTCTCTTCAGGAAGGTCTTTTTATATCAGTCACGAACTCCTCAATTGCAAAAAAAAATTAACTCCCGATCGTAACCCGATTTCTCACCAAATACTTGTTCTGTGTTAGTGAGTAGTTTGTGGTTGTGTCTGTTAAACGGGTTGTCCCCTTTTAAAGCTGAGCTCAGCGCGGTCTCTCTCCCTCTCTCTCTCTCTCCCTCTCTCTCTCTCTCTCCCTCTCTCATGTTCTCTCTCTCTTTCTGTTTCACACATAAATCCGAATGGTGAATTTTGTTTGCCAATTTTTTTGTCGTGTTTCGTGGATCGGGCGGTGCAGAGAGACGCGAGGGTTTGGGTGTTTAATGATTTGACAAGGTTGTTTTTGCCTTTAAATCTCCAGATCATTTTTCGCTATCAACTTAGCAGCCAAATAATATCCGGATTTGACACACGAATATATATATATTATATATACACACATACACAGGGTGACCAAAAAGTCATGATAGCATAAACAAATTATATATTTTTTAAGATAATAGGGGAGCTTCACGACTTTTTGGTGACCCTGTATATTAATTTAAAACCTCGGCGCACCCCAGACTTGTCAATGTGATGTCGGACACCAAATAGTGGCATTAACCCCAACTCCTCACTCACTCACTCACTCACTCACCCGCACAATTCAGCGATATTTGGAAGTTAATGCCTAAATGATGCAAATTGTCGGGTGAATAAGACGAGCGAACTGGTGAGGCGGGCAACGAATGTCGTGAGAAGCAAATAATAATTAATAATAATAATAATAATAATTAATATCTGACACAGGGAAAGTCCCAAGAGACGAGGGGAAGGTTCCGTTTTCAGACTAAACGCATTCTAACTCCCGAGAATAACGATTACACAGCGAGTCTCAGTGTTTTATTTATTACACACGGGGCGTGTGAATTTCCCATCTACTGCGAGTCAATGGGAAATGGTGACTTTTGCACAGTGACTGGTTTGTAAATGGGGGGGAGATGACAGTGGAGGTTGTAAATGAGGGGGGGGGTGGTGAGGTGGTGGGGGGGGGGAGATGACAAGAGTTTTAGATTGTAGATCTGGAGGGTAGTTCGGGTAAAAGGAAGGCTTTTTGCGCGTTAAATCTCTCTGTCACACCAGATGTGATAGTTAATGCATCGGGAGTGCGGTTTATTATCATTCAAGTCTCTTCCCCAATCAATTCGTGAGCATTCTGCTTGTTAATGTGTGGGGTGTTGTGGCTGTGGGATGTCATATATATATGTGTGTGTGTGTATGTATATTTACATATATATATAATTTTACCCCCAAATCGTGATAACTACCGTATTATTCAAAACAAATTATTTCCGTAAGACCTAACGGATATTGTGATAGTATCACCACTGTTTTTTGTATCCCTTGTGCAACATACGCACACCGTGACACACACACTGAGCTTAACAAACCTCTTCCCATCCGACAGGAGAGAGACCAGCCGAGAGATGGGAGAGGGGGGGGGGGGAGAGAGGGGGGGGGGGGAGAGACAGAGAGGGTGGAGGGGAGAGAGAGAGAGAGAGAGAGAGAGGGTGGGGGAGAGAGACAGAGAGGGTGGGGGAGAGAGAGAGAGGGTGGGGGGAGAAACAGAGGGGGGTGGGGGAGAGAGGGTGGGGGGGAGAGAGGGGGCAGAGAGAAAGAGAGAGGGGGGGAGCGCGCGCGAAAGAGAGATGGGGGAGAGAGGGAGAGGGGAGAGAGAGAGTCGGGGTGGGGGTGTGGGGGGGGGTAGAGAGAGAGAAGTAGCCAAACCAGAGGATTGTGGATGGATGGATGTGGCGGGGGAAGGAATGTAGAGCTTCATAATCATCACATCGAAATCTGTGCGAAGCGAAACGTCGCATTTTGCCCTTTGCGGCTTATTCATCTTTTGCCAAATGGGCAGAAACATGTGGGAAGAACTCTGATGGCGATCTGGGGTTAAACCCTCTCCGACTGCTGCTCCGATCAGCTGCGGTTAGAGGATCGGGAAGAACTAAACACACAGACCGTGAGGAATATTTCAGAGAAGGTTTTGTAACGTGTGTGTATGGGGGGTGGTGTGGGGGGGGGGGGGGGGTTGAAATACATGTTTTTTTTGTGATGAGTGAGTTCGGAGCCGCTGCGAGACAGCGAGAGAGAGGATAGTGGGTGCAGAATAGATTATTAATAATTTGTAATAAATGTTGCTCACTTCTCAACCGAGTTGTTGTAAGAGTAGGAGTGACCCCCCCCCCCCTCCCCCCCATGTTTGTTTTTGTGGGTAGATTGGATATTCTGAAACTTAAACAATAACTACAGCCCTGAATCCCTATTAAGCCATAAGCAAATATATATGTAAATCACCTTCCACTTGATGGTGAATGGCTTGAATTCTTTCCCCCCTCCTCCCTTTGGAGAATAAGAAAACTTGCGATGGTGAGAGTACATGGGGAGGGGGGGAATTATTCCTATTCTCCACATACAAACACTCAAAAATCAGCTCGTCTCTGTCTCTCCTGAACATCTCCGGAGAAGGACTTTGATGTGGAACTTTCTAAAGGATAAAATACTTTTCTGGTTGAAATGAGAGATCTCCAGATTTATTCTAATATTAGCGATCTCTGAAGTTGGATACCAGAATAAATCCGGGGGGGGGGGGGGTGGGGGGTGGGATGGTGGTAGGGAAAGCTTCAAATTGCAATTGTTCGAAGCTTTTTGCGCCATCAATAAATCGCTGCTTACAGACTCACAGAATAACGTTAGTCAATGGATTGCAATTTTAAAAGTAGTTTTAAAAATGCGACGTTTTTATAAATGTCTTTTTTTTTGGACGTGCCGGTGAGAAAAACGCTTATGTGTGTGTGTGTGTGTTTAGGGGTGGGGTTGGTGTGTGGAAATCGTAGTACGACTTTATATATTTGTCCTTGAGTGGAAAATAATCTGAGCCATAAAATGTAATCGGCGTCTGCACCCATCCAGGATTTGACACGAGATACTTGATAAATCGCTGCTGCCTTTTGTCTTGTTCAATCCTAACCGATAACCAGGCAACTGTGTTAGATTTAGCTGCTTCATTATTTAATCTAAAATTCGGGCATGAGTTTATTTGCTACAGACCCTAAGTTTGCCCCCCGCACCCCCCTCCCTCATATTAAACTCTGTAATTCACACCTTGGGAAGCCATCTCAATGTCTACATCCGAGCTATAATTACACAGAACACAGCCAGACTGTGAGGTGTGTATAGGAGCGGAGCTTAATTAGGATTAATTAACATTGGGAACAATTACGTTTAGTTACTCTGGTCCCGTATTTTACTGTATATATATATATATAGAGAGAGAGAGAGAGACCATGTGACATTTTCCACATGCTGATGTTTCAAATGATCCATCTATTTATTTTATTGCGTTGTGTTTTTCGACGCTGGTTATGGGGTAAACAGCCCACTGTGTTGGTTTGAGTTGAGTGGAAAGTAAACCCAACAACAACCCCGACCAAAAGGCAAAGCAGTTCCCCCCTCCTCCCCCGTGTCCCCGTGTGTGCTGTGTGTGTGCTCTGTGAGGGACAGAGTGCTGGAAGTGCTACAGATCTTCAAATAATATATATATTATATATATTTATTATACACACATATATTAGATGTAATTGAGGCAGCGGGGCTGCGTCAATTACATCTAATATATGTGTGTATGTACATATTTATGTATGTATAATACATATATATAATATATAAAACTAGAAACAAAAGTTTAGAGTTCATTTCGCTTTCCTCTTTCTAACCTCCCGACAAAGTACAGCGCTCAGCAGGGAAGCGAGTTCAGTTAATGCACATTTAACTGTCCGGTCCACTCACAACTGTTCTGACACCGATTCTAAAACACAAAAATACCGAATATACACATACACACACTCCTTAAATTGACATCCTATTGTTATTTTTCTTTTCCACGAGGATTCTTCTTCTCCCATTACTGTTACACGGTTCAAAAAAGTTTTCCCAAACTACTATATAATGTATATATATATATATAACATTATGAATGGATTTATATCGAGATTAAACACCGTTAAACACATAGATTAATTAGCCGGTCCAGCGAGGAAACGACTTGTGCAGTCCTTGTCTCTGTTTATGAACCCCCCCCCCGTCCTGCCAAGACCCCACTATTCCCTTCTCCCTCACACATCCCACCTTACAGAGCGGTGTTTAACCCCCCCATTTGGCTATTCACGCCAGTTGGGAGACAGCACTGGGTATTTTCGATTGACGGGTGTAATAATCCCTCCACACACATACGCAAATGAATGATCATTCAATCCACGAGTGTTTGTGGGCACTGCTGTGCGCAATTGGCTGCCGCGTTTGGCTTCCAAAACACAGAGTCGCCCCCACTTTACAATATAGAAACAATAACAACAGTAAACCATGATATAGCG